TTCTCACTAGTGACTGGGCTGAATCGGTCAGGTTACATACCCATTTGGTTTTTTTTTATTGTTTGAGTCAATGTGATCCATTTAGCATCGAAGCGGGTGGATTTTAGACGACCTTTATTCACGGTGTGAAGGAGCCTTTTTGAATTACGGCTAACGAAATGAATTAAAATTGGTTGCTTGTTGGACCATTCCAGATAGCAGCGACCTTGAATGCGTCAGTAATAACGGTCATGGATCATGAAATACTGTCATGTCGTTGTTCGAGCGTTGATGAGCTTCCAACATTGACGTTTGTTTTGCATGGGCACCAATTCAGCATTCCTCCGGAAGTATATGCAATGAAGGTGATAAATTAAATCGGATGATACCGTTCTGATTTGCTGCTCGATCACTCTTAATCTCCTCGAATCAAGGCTATTACCAATATCGCATTCATTTTTCACAAAACCGTTAGGCTAAATCAGTAAATTTTTTCATCACTATATATCACCACAGATAGGTAACCTGTATCAGTGCTCCCAATATTCTCTAAATCACAAGCTCCAACGAGCATCCAAGGCAACGATGAACTGCATTCATCAATCCTTATTCCTTAATTTGATTAAAAGAGACAGGAAAACGGATAATGCTACAGTAACGTAATGTGGAATGAAGAGTGGATATTAGACCAAACACGATTGGTTTGATTGGCAGTTGCGCTCCTGAAATGATTCATGAAAAAGATCAAACGCTAAATTTTGCTTGCAGGACACATACGATGGTAGTTGTTACATTTTCATTGACCAATATGAAGACTGGGTTCTGGGTGATGTTTTCCTTGGACAATACTACTCGGTATTCGATTACGAGAACAAACGAGTTGGATTGGCGAAAGCAACACCACAAGTAGTCGGGCATCCTCTAACGTCCATACCGTCCAATGAGTCCGTTCAAATCATATAACGAATGAAGCGCCTGATGCTAATTGAGATCATGTTGAACGACTGATTTGAGTAACAATAACGTCACATTCAATTATGACCATTATGTGAATGAATATTACTGGAAAGTGGCACAGAAGAACAAAGTTTAAAAGAAAGTTTAAAGTTTGAAATAAAATAGTTTGAAGAACAAAAGAACAAAGCCAAAATTTAACAATGTTTAAAAGAACACAATCGACCAGAGACCATTTCACTGCACCAGATTCAAATCCTCTCAACGAACTGATACAAATATCGAGAGGAATTCAAAAATACCTCATTAACATTTGACAAAGTTCAGTGCAATCGTCGTAAAAATGAGCTGAGAGTACCGTTCGGCGGCCAAATACCGTTTAAAACCATTTTCGGTATTTTGGCTCATTAAATGAATAGGACCATCATTCTCCGTAGTGATTCTCTTGTAATTGCCTTCCTATATTGCACTCCATTGAGTTTTTCATGATTTGATTGTGGAGTGTCGAATTTAATTATATTGAAAA